TACCCCGCTACCCCTTCCCCCTCTCCAAGCCATCACCTGCTCGAATCACGGCAAAGACCTTCACCTATTCCCCCACCCCAACCAATTTCTCCGGTATTAATTTGAATTTGCTGTATGCGTGTGTGCGTGTGCGTGCATGTGTTTTGCAAGATCCTAAGGGCGCCCCCCCCCACCACCTGGCCAGCCATCCGCCCCCCTCCTCCCGCCATCTCGAAACCGCCTTCATCTCCAACGCCTCCTCACGCCCCGCCTCCCGCCAAACCCCAAACCCCCGCTCCGCTCCTCCTCATCCCCTTCGCGCAGCCTCCGCGCCAACTCTAGGCCCTGGGTGGCTACACAATCGGACTTGGAAGCGGCTGCTAGGCGGCTGGCTGAGGCGCGGAGACAGCAGGCGCTGAGGGCAGAACAGGTCGGTGGAGGAGGGAGGGAGGGAGGGAGGGGGGGAGGGGAGAGGGAGGGGAGAGGGAGGGAGGGGAACTAAGAATTAACAACTAACAACTAACAATCCAACAGCCCAATAGGACAAAAGCATTTAGGCAATGCGCATGGATAAATTGGGTGGTGGCGGTGGTGGTGGTGGTGGTAATGATGATGATGATGTGAATTGTTGTGGCACGTGAGCAGGAAGCGCTGGAGGAGTCGCAGCACGAGCAGCTTCGAAAGAGAGCGATGGAACGAGCCCGCGGGCCCACCGCGGGGCAGGTCTTCGCGCAGGCGGCAATCACAGCCGCCGCAAATGCGCCGGCGCGGCGTCAGCTGGCACCGCCGCCGCCGCCGTCGGCGTCGACGGCTGCGGCGGGGCCGGCGGGTGGTGGTGGCGGCGGCGGCGCTGGTGGCCGTCCGGTGGTTGAGGTGGTTCCCGAGTCCAAAGCGGGCCCTTGCAAGTCTTGTAGCATCATGTGAATATTGTCAAACGTACGAACGATGTACGACAGGAATAATGAATCGTTTATATGCCTGGACTGATTGACTGACTGAGTGACTGACTGACTGACTGGCAGAGGTACTCTCTGCGCAACAGACGGACGGACGGACTGACAGGCAGGCGCTTGCGGTTCCGTTTGCGATTTATCGATTTACCCCGAAATCCTGTTTGCATGCATGCATGTATATATGTATGTATTTATGTTTGATCTCTTATCAGGGGGAAAGTACATATGTGTATGTGCAATGTAAACGGCATAAAGGTAGAGAGATCAGCACCGCAACGGCTCAGTGCAGTGGTACGAGGCTTTGCCGGGCAAAAGGGGGAAAGAGGCGGCGGCTCAGAAGGAGCCGAGTGGAGAGGGCGGTTGGGAAGGAGGTTGGATTCTTTGCTCTCCCGTCTCAGTTCCCCCGGACTTTCCCCCCGGGGCCACCGGGGAATACACACCTCTATGGCAAGTGGGGTGGAGCTGGTGATTCCGTTATTCCGTTAAATTCTTAAAAGTTTTGAAATATTAGTATTTTAAGTGGGACACTGTACGGCATGACGTAGTAGATCTCTCCAGATTCCTCCTCTCACCTGCCACTACCCCGCGGGGGGCCAAGACCCCGGCGCGGGGTTGCGGGTCGTTGTACGGAATCATGTGTGTGTATGTATATATGTGTATCTGTGATTATGTAATGATTTGAGCCGCGATGAGGGATTTGCGGATGATGGCGGTATTCGAAAAGAGCTTCATACCGAACCGAAAGCTCCATAATCTAGTCCAGTCCAGTCCAGCGACGTGTTGGAATTTTTGTTGGTAAAGTGATTCCTTGGGGCCATTGCTGTTCCCTTCCGCTAGCCGCGACGGTATGTATGTCTAAACGAGATCTGTATGTTTCGTGTGGTGCCTAGAACAGGTGTGGTGGTGGTGGTGTGTGTGTATGTGTATATTAGGGCCATGTTTTTCTGAAAGGCGTATAATGCGTCTATTCTTCTTAATAGGATGGATTGTAATCCTGCTGTTGATCGCCGTTCCCTTCCGCTAGCTGCGGCACATCACGCCGCTGCCACGTGTACGGCACACGGCTGGTGGTTATGGTAGTTGGTGTGCGCTTTGATGTTGCCTCTGTCTGCACCTGCCGAAGGGAAATGATTCAACCATTGGAAGAACCCACAGGACAGGACTTGATAGATCGGAACATAGATAGAAACTGCTCGCGGCATCATCGCAGCGCATCGACGGGTGATGAGGACGGCTGCTGTAAGTGCTGTGTGTCTGCATGTATGTCTGTGCAGGTATCGGCGTCCATGTCCCGTGTGTGTACATGTGTCGGGTTGCCCCCGTCGAGTACTCAGGGGGGATTGATTCCCGCCTCTGTTCGCACAACCCGCAGGGCACACGTCGCCAGCTGCTGCTTCTACAGCAGCAGCAACAACAACAAACCCTGTTCTCTCCTCGTCGTCGTCGTCTACGTAAGGGGAGGAAGGGAATTTGCACAGCGCACGGACGACTCATCCACAGGCACTTACAGGCCGCCGTACGGGTATGTACGGCAGCAAGTATTGATATGCCCTGCCGTACGACGAGATATTATAGCTCCACGTCGAGGGCTTTGGAGTGTTAAAGCGCCGATTCCATGACCTTGGAACGGCCACAGCTATTCACACGACATGAACAGACAGGCCTCTTCACACGCGGCAATGGTAGCGGTAGCGGTAGCGGCTGCCTGCCGCCGCATCTAAATCACCTTCCCAGCCATTGGCTCTCTTCCCTCTCCGCCGCTCTCCTCCCCATTTGCCGTTTTCCTGGAAACCCTGAAAAAAACCAAGCACCTCACCAAGCGCCTAGCAAAAGAATATTCCCGCCTTCTCCTTCTCCTCCTCCCCCCGGGATGCAGCCACCGCGCCCTTGCGGAAATCCGTCTTACACGAGCCTCCGAACGTCCAGGGGCATCCAGGGGGTCATTCGACGTTTCGTCGCGTTGCGTGATTTCGAATGGTAGCCCGCATCGCATTCCCCCTCACATCCGTTTGTACTACTGCAGCCGACATGGCGTTATTGGGGAGGTAGTGTGGGCGGGAAAGGGGCAATTCCCTATCTCCGCACCCTCCCTCCCTTCCTGTCTGTCTATATGTCTGTCTGTATGGCAAGGACACACTACACGTCATGCGGCTCCCAACCCGCTGCAGGCCCACAGCGCCGTTCTTCAAAGGCTGGCAGCGCGCAGGAGCTTAGGATGCCCTGGTTTGCCTACTTGGGGTGCAGGCTCTTGACTGCACTGCTGAGCACACATACATACACACCTACATACACATACACGCACACAGCGATTCCAACCGCCGCAACGGCCCATCATCATCCTGCATGCCTATGCATGTAATGGATGCGTGCACGTGCTTGAGTGATGCCTCTCTCCTAGCACCCTTGCATGCGCGTTTTACTTAATATCCGAGCCGCAATATGAGAAAACGCCAAAATGTGTGTGTGTGTGTAAGCGTGTGGAAGCTCACTGGACGTGCAGCACACTGCGCACAACCAACCAACCACCAACAAATACACTCGCTAACGTCGTCGTACAGGCGTGGAAAGAAAAACCGACACGCTGGATGTCCGGCGTCGGTAGACCCGCCGGACTCTGATCGTACGTCTGTGCTGTACACGTCTTCTTGTATGTCCGTCCGCCCGTTGGTCGCCTGTTTGCCGCACCTCAGCCGCACCTCAGGCCCGCCGGCTCCCCAGCGAGCCCCGGCCTACCTGAATGCATAAGGCCCGCCCAAAACACAACACGGCAAAAGCGATGTGTGTTATGCAGCTCCCCCGGATTCGCTTCTCTTCCTCATTCACCTCTCTCCGGAACGGTTGGAGGGCAAATAGATTGGGGAGGAATATAAATGGTCCTTCCCTTTCCACATCCACATTATATGTAGAAAGACAACTCCCGCACCATGTGTTGTGTCCTCTCTTGTCGTGTTCTGGACTATCATATTGAAATATGATATGAAGGGAGCGGGCAAGCAACCTGTCGCCCCGTCTCCATCGGCCTCACACGCCTCCTGTGTCGGATATACCGGTGTCACAGCTACTGCTGTGCTACTGCCGTTGGATACTCGGTTCCACACGAGCACGCCCTCCGCTTTCCACACCTCTCTCCTCTCGGCCTCTCCATTCCACTCCCGATCCCCCCTCACCACTCCGCTAATGCGCACGTACTCAAAAACACACCCATACATGAAAATACACACATACATACATAAATACATACATACATACATGAAAAAAATGGGAAAAGCCACTACAGCCCCCAACCCAGTGAGGCGCGGACCCATGAGATCCCTTCCATACACACCCTCCCCTCCTGTCCACCAAATGATGTGACAACCCTAGACTGCACCAATATTGCACCACCGCCGAGGCGGTGTATCCCATCCTAAACTACGGTACGTATCATCCAGTACGTATCATCCCGCCATGCAAGAGACAGATTATTAAGCTGCTCAATTAATAACAGCCAAATCAATACCACTCAAAACGGCTGAGAACCAGAAGGAGCGGCCCTCATCATGTATGTATGTCGCTGTGTGTGAGAGTGAGATTAACCCACAACTTCGCCTTTTCTCGGTAACACCCACAATACCGCGCGAACCAGAACCAACACCACTACCTTTTTTTACGGCACAAACGCCCACAACAACCCCGACAACTACGGCCTGCATCGCCACACAACACAACGTGACACAAAACAACGCGCAGCAATATCGCCAGCAGTATCCTGTGTTTGTGTGTGTGTGTGGGGGGGGGGGGCCGGTAATGTGCGCGCGCGCACATTACCGCCCACACACACACACTCTCTCTCCCATGTGTGTGTGTGTGTGCTGAGGGGTTTTTAAGTGTACGGATGTCGTACAAGTGTCACACACGGTTCTTTTGTGTTTGCGAAATGTTCCGATTGTTCCTCGAGTCTATTTGGGGCAGGATAATGTTATTGGATCCATTTGCCGTACTTTGTCGTTTCGGACTGTCGTTGTCTAGTCATGTGCCATGGGCCCCCCAAACGCACAACACATACGTACTCACAGACGTACCCTTCAGGCAACAGCAGCAGCATAGTAGTAGCAGCAGCAACAGCAGCAGCAGCAGCAGCGAAAGCAAGAAGATTGCGGTATCGCCAAAAAAAACAGGAGATACACACGCCACGTAAGCGCCATGTAAGCGAAGGCACGTCGTCCCGATCGACGGGAAAGGAAAAGCAGGGGCGCGACAGAATAGACACCCCCGCGGTCGCTCCCCTTTCCTGGTTTTACCCCCGACTTTGCCCCCTCGCCTTTCAGGCAGTACCGCCGTACCTCTTTGCGGAACCCGAACGACACAAACTGAATGGTCTGTGGCGCAATCTCGACGTATAACATATATTAACATCAACAACAGTACAGCAACAATTTCAGAAGCAGCAGCACTAGTGAAAAAGGTCATCAGCTAGTGCCCCGCAGTAGCACAGAAGTCTCCCTTAACAGAGCCCCTTTTAAGCGTGCAAACATGCCGAAACGATAAAACCGCCGGTCCGTGCTTCGCACGTAAACCGTGAATAACAGATTTCCAGAAAGCGGAGAGGGTCCCTAATCAGTGCATACCACAGCCGCTGCTACATCCGCTAACCTCAAAGCACCCAGTGCTGTCCGGAGAAGAAAGCGTCGCCTCCTGCTCTCAATTATGTAGTTCTGCAAAGCGATTTCCTCGCTTAACATATCTCTATAATAAGGCCCCGAAAAAAGGGAAACGGCGTGGCGTAGTACAAGAGCAATAACAACGGGGCGCGCATCACATCGTCTGCGCACATTCCTTTGGAAGGGTAGAGCCGCGCCGAACGACGAGTGAGCGAGAGGGATCGAGAGGGATCGAGAGGGAGCGAGGGAAAACACACTTCCTTGATCCACGTCCGCACCTTTATGAGGAGGGAGGGAGGGAATGGGAGGAAATGGGAGTCCAAATAAGCCCTCTCGTCCTCAAAGTCTATCAGTCGCCCATCAGCCGTTCGCATGTTGCAGCTAGGCCGCCGCCACAAATTAGAGCTCCGAAACCCGCAGGCAGACAGGCAGGCAGGCGGGAATTCCCAAAACCGGAGTCTCTCGTAAATGAATGCAAATGATAGACAGTAGTTCATTACCTGACCTTCACAGCTACCAACCAACCAAAAACCGCCATGGTATAAATACATACATACACACATACGTACATCATACACCTCTTGTCATGTACGAGGTAACGCAGCTCTCCAGCAGCAGCAGCAGCAGCAGCAGCAAAAGAACAACAACATGGCTGTGGACTGCTTGTAACGGCTGTCGCAGCAGCCACACATAGTTTGGCGAACAGTACCCGATGAAAAAGCGCAACAACTAACAACATAACAAACAGCGACGCACTGTCGCTCGTAAAACTTGAACGTGAGCAAAGCCAGAGCCCGACTGGGGCTGCCTGGAAACGGCGGTGTGGGCGATTGCACAACAGGCTCTCCCACAACACGACAGGACACCTCAAGAAATGAGGCACCCAAACGGCGTGTGGCACAAATGCAGAACAACAACAAAAGATGCGAAAAAGTTCAACAGTTGCGAAAAATGGCGCCCCCTGGTCTACATGCCCCACCACCAGCCCCGGCCTGCAGTACACTTTCCCGTACACTGACGATTCTTCATCGTACGACGTACACAGCTCCAAAATCCCAACGACCTGGGTGCGCTATCTCCACTTTGTATTGTTTCCGGAACACAGCGCCGATGTCGCAAAAACTGCTACCAACCACTATTGCTACTGCTGCCACCACCATCACCACTACCGGTGGCTACCACCATAACCACCATAACCACCATAAGCACCGGCAACTTCCTCCTATACAAAACCACCATTCAGAAAGGCAAGCGCAGCCCCCCCACACACACTGACTCGCCACCACACCGCGACGCTGTCGTACCCCATAACGCTACAAACCCCAGCTCCATCTTACATGGGCCTTTCACCTCAATGTCAACATCAACATTTTACACCTATCATTAAACACTGCGACCCGGGATCGAAGCAGGTACCTCATTTGCACATTCCCCAAATTCCCTTCCCCCAAACCCCCACTGCGATGAAGTGAAGCGATGTGGCAAGGAGCTCCTCCGACAATCTGCAGCCCCAATACCTTACAACAAAAGTTGAAGTTAAATAACACAAACTGTTTTTAAAGCTTTTTATTAACTTGACTTTTCGGAGCGCGAAGAGGTCGCGCTCTCCGCGAGCGTGGCCGTGCTGGCTTCTGCCGCCTTCTTCTACCATATCAAGCCAAGCAGGCGCGGTGAGGAAAAGAGCGGGGCAACCCGCCATCATACAGAGCCGCCTCCGCAGCCACAACCGCCGTCAGCCTCCGGAACCGTTGCTGCTGCTGCTGACGATGATGATGATGAGGATAATAGGCAGCAGCTGCGACTGCCTTATCCACAAGCTGACCGTCCCCTCACAGGCCCCAACCCGCTTCATACGCTGATCGTATACCGGGCAACACGCTATTCTCTGGCTCCGGAACCGCTGGTAAGGCTTTTCTTCCCCCCCCGGAAGCGCTTCCGTAACCCCCGCAGCACTCCCTGCACAGGCGACAACCTCGCCGTATCGTCCATCAAACGCGTCAGCTGCTGCGAGGACCTGCCCGTGGTGGCGGCGGCGGCGGCGGCGGCGCCGCCGCCGCTGGCGGCGCTCACCCTGCCGTCGAGCGCTTGAACTTCGCCGACGCCGCTGCCGCCGGGGCCGCAGCTGGCAGCACCATTGTAGTTCGTCAGGTGCTCAGACTGCCCAGGCGGAGCAAGCTGCGATGACGGCGGCGGGGACGCAAGCAAGCCTCCGCCTCCGCCGCTGACGCCCATAATAGACGAGCGCTTGGTTGCCAGGATCTGCCCAAACCAAGACATGCCCAAACGGCGCGCAGCGCCTAGAGTTTGTGAGAGGGGCTGCGAGGGCGTGGCCACGGCGGAGGCGCCGCCGGCGGAGCCGGCAGTTTCCGCCGTGCGATGGGAACAACCCGTGGAACAGCTGGCGTCGCGGCCGACGGCGGCGGCACTGAAATCGCTGAGACCGCCGCCGCCGCCGCCGCTGCCGCCATCATCATGCCTGAATAGGTCGAGAATAACGCGATAGGACTTGAAGCTCGCTTGCCTTCCCATACCGCGGCGATTGCTTGTAGACGCGGCGCCAGCGCCGGTCTGCCCTGGCGGCGGCAACGGCAGCGGCAGCTGCGGCGCTGCTGCAAATTGCGGCGACGCCGACATGACGTCGCGCAACGGCGCCGACAACGCAGGTGACACCCACGGCGACGCTGCGGGGCCAGCGGCGGTCCCGCCGCCGTACCCTGGCGTATTACCGAGAGCCGCCGCCACCGCAGCGGTGCTCGCCAGTAACTCCGGCAATGTTGGTCTGGAAGGCATCCTTGGTTCTCCTCCGCCTCCGGCGCCGCCGGCTGCGGTAGCTGCGGCGAAGCCCAGCCGTCCGCTGCTGCTAGGAACGGCGGTGCCGTTGCTTCCGCGGATGGCTGCGCCGGAGCCCAACGCCGGCACCGCGCCGGCGCCGCCAAGCGCTCTCAGCGCCGCCTGGCTGCCCCGCCCAGTCGACCCGGAACCCAACATGGGCGCCAGGGTTTGTGGATACGCTAGGAACCGCAAACTGGCGGCCCCCTTGCCTCCTTCAGAGGTAGTGCTGCTTCCATGACTTACGACGGTGATCGCGGCGGCGGCGGCGGCCGCGGTGGCGGTGCCTAGAACCGCCGCCGCCATCGCTGGCGCCACTGAGACTGTGTCGTTGTCGACGGCACCGCCGCTGCTGTTCTGCGGAGTGTTGACCACAATGCCGCGCATCAGCGTCACCACGATGGCACCGCCGCTGGCTGTATCTGTCGCAGTAGCTGCAGTTGCGGAGGATTGGCAGCGAATGTGGCTGCTGGTGGCGGCGGGCGCCCCCGCGACTGTGCCGGCGGGTGGCGCCACGTGACACCCTACCGTGACGTCCGTGAAGGATAGCAGAGAGGAGTTGTTCTGGGAGCTTCTATAGCTGCCGCCGCTCGCTAGGTAACGGCCGCTGCCGACGACCGAGGCGCCGCCGATGGCCACGGCGGCGGCTGCCGCAGCGGCAGAGCTGCCGCTGCCGCTGCCTCGAGGGGCCGTAGCGATGGCGGCGGCTGCAGTGACAACCGCGGCATCCATTCCCTTCATGCCGTGCAGCTGCGGAAGAGGACCGTTGGAAGGTGTCGCGGATGCCGCAGTTTGATGGTTTTCTAACGGCGACGGATGTGCCGACGAATCTGCCAATCCACGCGGGTGCTGCTGCTGATGCTGCTGATGGGCCTCAGCCAGGGAGGCCCTGCCGCTGCCGTTACCGACACCTGCAATTGCTCCGGAGCCCAGCGGTCCGGTGCTACTGCCGCCGTCACCGGCAGCTCCAGCGCTGAGCGCGGCGTGCGGAACGTCGACGGAGCTCCGAGTCCCATATGCGGACCAGGAAGACCCCGAAGCGCTGGTGACAGCGGCAGCGGAGCCGCCACCGCCGCCGGACATTAAGGTTGGCGCTTGCAGCTGCTGCTTCTGCCGATGGGAAATTCCCCGTCCGCTACGCGGCCGTACACGGCTCATAAGGCCTTGCTGCCCTGCCGCCACCGCCGTCGTCATCGTTACAAGCGGGACGGACCCCGTTATATCGCCCACTGCGCCCGATCCGACGCTGCTGCTGCAGTACGATGGCGGCACCGCCGCCGCTGCTCGCCTGGAATGTTGCAGGTCGCCACTGGCGGTGGCGTTGCTGCGGCGCTCTTGAATAGATGAGCGACGATCGCTTTCACTGCCGTTACAGAAACTGTACCCGCCTATGCTAGAGGGGTACCGGTCGATGCCGCCGCCGTCGCCGTCGTCGCAGGTTCCGAACAAGGTGCTATCGGCCCGATATGCATCATCATTGTCCAGGCCCGCCTCCTCCTCGCCGATTCGAATAAGGCCCGTGTCGTGAAGGTGCCGGCCCAGGTCTAAAGAGGACCGAGGGTACGACACCGTACCGCCGCCACGGCTGCCGCCGCCGCCGCCGCCGCGGAGGCTGCCACCGGTCTCCACGGTACCGTACGACATCGAGCCGCTCGTCCCGCCCATTGTCAACGCAGCTCCGCTGGAGCCGGCACCGCTTGCGGGCCCGTAGCTGCTGGAAATACGGCCGGAGGTGCTCGTGCCGTAGCCGCCAGTGACGCCGCCAGTGACGCCGCCGCGCGTGGCATACGACGGCGATTTGCATGATGCACAGTCGCCGCCGCGTGCAGCGGTGCCAGAAAATGAGCCGGCAACTGCAGTACCGCCGCCGCACATGGATGATGGCCACGCCGCCGCCACCGTCGCCTTGCCCCCAACTGACGCTGCGTTACGGAGCTGAAATTGCAATTGTGAGCGGCTCTGGGCCGCCGCTGCCCACTGGCGGATGCGCCCGCCAGCCCCTGCCGACAATTGCCGTACCGCAACCTCACCACCAACGCCGTCGCCGTACTGCCTCCCGTCACAGCGCTCTCCGGATGGCTGCAAGTACGGCGAGTACGACGCAGGTGAGGACGAAAGCGGCTCCACCGCTGACGACGCGCCGCTGAGGCCGCTGACACCGCCGCCGCGCGTAGTGTACGACAAGTGCCTCGAAATCGCGCCCGCCGTTGTCGAAGCCAGGGAAGACCCCATCGCCGCTGCCCTGCCGGTGCCCAGCGCATCGGTTTCGGAGCCGGCCATCGAGGTGTGCAGCAGATCCCGGGTCCCCATCACCGCCGTCGGAGCCCAGTGGCGCTCCACAGACGCGAGCGGCGTCGAGCTGCTGTGCGGGGAGGCGCTGGCGGCCGCTGCCAAGACATCCGACTGATAGACCTGTCATCATGTGTAGGAAATGTAGGAAATGTAGGAAATGTAGGAAAGAGGGCCACAGCCGCGTTTTGTTAATGGAGGTGTGCAGCAGAAAGGAACTCCCCAATGGTTCGGATGGGTCGCGCTGCGACATGACCCATGTCTACATGTCTGTCTACATGTCTGTCCCGCCGATCCGTCGCCGGGTACTGTAGGACTGGGCGCTCACGTGCGGCATTGATAGGTCCCCAGTACGACATGGATAACTACCTGTTAGTACGTTAGTTAGCGGCACATCGCGGCACATCGTCCACTAACGACGACAATGGAACTATCCACTCAGACTTACGCGCTCAGACAGCATCCCCCCCGCCCCCCCCCCCACCACCTCCCTGCACTAGAACGCCTGGAACACTGTTGTCCTCACTCGGAATTAGTACGGCAGAACTTTTTACGGAACTGGTACGGCAGTGTCATCATGCATCGCGCGTGCATCTAAGCTGTGTACCTAGGCCCTCTCCGCTATCCTGCAGCCGCCGCTCCGCTGTGTCGTACCTGACGGCCGTCGGCAAGAACAATGACCTGACGAGGAGGGGCCATCGTCTCCTCTATTGCCGCCGCCGCCGCCGTCACCCTTTCCAGCCGAGACCGGGACCCCGGTGCTGCCCTGGCCCAGCCGCCATCGCCGCCGCCGCTCCGCGGCCCCGTTTCGCTGCTCTGCAGCTCGCCCTCCTCCGCCGCCGCCGCTGCGTCGCTCCCCCGGCGGACGATCCGGTGCGCCGCTGGAATCTTGAACGATGACACCGTCGGCGTCACCGCTGTCGGTACGACGGCGGCGGCGACGGCGGCAGCGGCGGCGCCGCTAGCCGTGCCCTGCAGCAACGGCGATGCCCCACTGAACGTTGACCATGCTTCCGATAAGCCGGACGAGTTGTTCCGATTGTCAGAGGACAGTTGTTGCTGTTGCAGGTACTGCTGCTGCTGGAGTTGTTGTTGCTGCTGCTGCTGCTGTTGGTATTGCTGCTGTTGATACAGGTGCTGATTTTGTTGTTGAACTCTCCAGTCGAAAGAGGACGGTGAGGCGAGAGCCGCCGGCAGGGGTATCGTTCCAGTGTTGGCTGTGGAAGGATACCGCATGATCGAATTGGGGTTCAACAGGAATGGCGATGACGCCGACGACAACAGCCTGTCGTACACGTCAGCTTCCAAGATGACCGACGACAGCATGGAGTGGTCGTTGGCGGCGGCGGCGGCAGCGGCGGCGCCGCCGCCAGGGGCGACGCCCGATAGCGACCCTGCATAGGGTAACATCCTCGCCTGCAGCGCGGCGGCGCCCTGCGGCCCAGCCGTACCGCCCGGCTCCGCGATGTCGCCGCCGCCGCCATGTAATGCTCGCGGGGCCCCCGCGCCCGTCCAAACCGTCGTCGCTGGGTTGGCCGCGTGCTGGTTAGCAGTAGTAACCTTGTTAACACTGCCTCCCGCGCGGACTACGCCGCCAGCCGCAAAGCCCGCTGCCGCTGCCGGGGTTGCGGCAGCGACGACAGTCGTTGCCGCTGCAGCAGCGCCGCCGCCGGCGGTGCCGTCCGGCGCAGATTGCCGCCTCGCAAAGGAAAAAGGGACCTGGGCGGGTCCGCAGGATTGAGACTGCTGCAGGTTGGACACCGGCGCTCCTGACGGCGTCAAGGCCACGGGTTGCCTGCCCAGGCTCGGCGGCCGCTCGGAAGACGCGCGCCGAACGTGCGACAACGTAACCTCTTCCGACGTCCCAGCCAACACAGCTGCGGCCCGCGCCGCCGCCGCCGCCTTCGGGTCGGGCGCCTTGCTACTTCGAGACAGCGGACCCGGTAACAATCCCACGGGCGGCAAACAAGCAGAGACGGTGGCGTTGCCGCCGCCGCTACCGCCTTCACAATCGACTACCGCAACAAGCGACGGCATCGCCGTAGCTGCACAAGAATACGCCGGCAACGGCGCCATCGCCGCGACATTGCTGCGATGCATGTATTTGGACTCCAGGGAGGAAGTACGATATGCTGGATGAGGCTTTGGCGGCAGCGAGTCCAGGGAGGCGCGCTTCGCCGCCAGCGGCGGCAGCAGCAGCCGCTGCTGCTGCGGCGGCACCGCCGCCGCCACGGTTCCAGCTCCGTACATTGGCTGGCCGGCCCTTCCCGCCACGGGAAAGCGGCCTTGCGGATCCGTCAGGGCAGTTGTGCCAGCACCCACACCCACACCCGCACCCGCGGCTACACGGCCTTGCGAGCTCACGGAGTCCGTCCGTCTGAGCCGTGGCCGCGTCGACAGGGCTTCCTGTACTCGTGTAGGATTGGGTGTGACGCCGCTGTGAGAGGTGGGGAAGCGCGGCTGGGCCGGCTGGCCCAATACGCTTCGCCGCGGGCTGGCAGAAAGGTGGATGGAGCCCATAATCAGGTCGCTTCCGGCGTCCGTATCGAAGTCGGTGCCGGCGCCGGTGATAAATGGGCTCGAATCGTCGCCGGCGTTGTTGATTGAAGTACTTGTCACACGGCTAAAGCTGGGGCCAAGGCGTGGCGGCCGGACCAACCGTCGACTGCTACTCGCCTCCACCGACGTCTCGTTTGCGAGGGGCGGGCTTGCGAGGGTCTGCTCCTTGACGGCCTCAACGGCGTCGGCGTCGGCATCAGCGGCGGCGGCGCTGACAGCGCTGGCCGCCGCAGGGCGGAGAGGGTACAACAGTTGTGATGATGACGCTGCCGCCTTCCGACACGAGCTCGCAAGATGATACGATAGCGCCGCCGCCGCCAGCCAAAGGCCGCCGTACGCAGCGACCAGCGCCTGTAATGATGCCGACGGCGCCAGGCGGCAGTGCAGCAGTGCGCCGGCGGCGGCGGCCGCCGCCGACTGGATGCCATAAGCCCACGGCGACAGATTGCTGGCGATCAGGTGCGCTAGAAGTACGACAGTCGCCGTCAAGGCGGCCTCTCCGCTCTGCAGATCGATCCCCCCGTCGACGTACAGCATAGAGGTGGCTTTAGAACCAGTAGCAGTAGCAGCATTTGCGAATGCTGCTGCCCCTGCCGCTGGTACGGCAGCCAGAGGAGCCAGAAGGACGAGCAACGCCGCCCGCGCCAGCCCCGCCAGCCAGCTGCAGACACTATTCACAATCCAAAAGTAGCTTGGCCTGCGTGTAGCACGTGGCCCATGAGACTCTGGTCAAAGGTTGTCTTCATCCCCTTTAGTGTTCTTCTTCTTCTTACGTCCTTTTTATATCTCTGTATATCTATCTATCTCTATATATGTAGATATAATAGAGATATAAAAGATAAAACAATATATTGATAGAAGATAAAGCAATAAACCGGAACACATGGGATTGCAGCACACACACGGGAAACGTACAAATTTACACTTTAAAAGGTTAAGGGAAACATTGGCATGTGTGATGGCTACTGGTTTTCTGGAAGCCATCATACATACATGATGAGCGGCGCTCGCTCCTCTCACCGTTGGCTCCATCTGGGCCATAAGATGATGATGACGTTCATGATCAGCACCGTTCCACCCCACGACGTGACCAATAGCCCCGCCAAACACCGCAACTGCTGCAGCGCCTCATCCTTAGAGCCTCCTCCTATAGGTCCAGCCGCGACCGCAGCCGCCGCTGCTGTTGACGTCACCGCCGCATCCGCCCCGCCGCCACCGCCCAGCGTCAGTGCCGGCCGTTGCAATCCCGCTGCTGCCGCCGCCGCTGCCGTTGATGCCGTCGCTGCTGGTATCGCGCCTATGCAGAAGCGCCTAGAGGCTTGCAAAAAGTGGTACGATATTGACGCCGCGTCCGCCAGTCGTATCGCCGCCACGTGCCGCTTTTCGGTCGAGAAGTCCTGGTGCCACCCAAAGCACCGCCTCGCCGATGCCGCCGGCAACTCCGCCTCCTCCATTCCCTCTTTCCACTGTTCGCCCTCCTGCAATCGGCGCTGCTGCTCCTGCTGTTGCGATGACTGCTCATGTTGTTGCTCGTCTTGCATGTGCCGGGCCTGACCCTCCCAAATTTGGTGCCGGCAATTTCCTGCTAACGGCGCAGACACAGGAGGTGTCATGCGACCGCCGCCGCCGCCGCTGCCGCAGACCCCTCCCGCATGCCCCCCTCCCGCATAACCCCCTTCCGCTTCCACCGGTCTGCTGCTCGCGGCCGCAAGCTTGCGGCCCCGGCGAACCCCCGTCACCACCAAGCCGCGGCCGCTGCCGCTGCTGCTTCTGGACACAAACCACCGCTGCAGTCGCCTCACTGCTGCTGCTGCTGCTCCTGCAATATCGCCCTCGTCCAGCCGATGCTGCCCACACCCTGTACCACCTTCCCTGACGGCGCTCGCTGCGTGTCGCTGCTTCCCCCATAGCTGAAGAGCACCCTGCAGCAATAAATGCGACTGTTCCAGCTCTATGTCCCCGTCCCCGCCCCCATCGCCGCTCGCACCGCCTGTGTGGGCCCGGGCCCTCCGGTGCAGCCGTGAAGCACCGAGCCAAATGCCAGCGAGCGCCAGGAGGGTGTGCAGCGCCGCCAGCGCCACCACCCTGTGCACCAGCTGCGTTAGCGGGCCTGTGAGGAACGTCGTGCCCGCTGCCACCGGCGGGGCGGTGGTCGATGTGAGGGCAGCATCAACTCCGATGGCGTTGGCAGCGGCGCTTGCCGCTTGCCGCGCGAAATCTACAGCTGCGATTGCCACACTCCAGGTGTAGAGCACGGCGGCCTGCACGGCCGTGACCTCTGTCGTGTCCTGAAGCGGATGGCGATGAATGGCGATGGGAATAAGGGCAGCCATGAATCTTCTAGGCCCAATAGTAACAATGTATATTATAGGAAGTCCTAGAAGTCCTGAAGTGCCATGAAAACCTGTGCAGCATTAGGAAGCCCCGACACTGAACTCCACCTGGGTCACAAAGTGCTGACCCAGATGAGGTGGCAGGGAGTGCTGACCCAGATGAGGTGGCAGGGAGTGCTGACCCAGATCAGGAGCCCTTTGTGTTTTGGGCCCTCCCGCCCCACACGCACGGTTTCCGGGCCTCGAAGCGACTGGCGTGCTTGGTAGAGGGGGGATGGGGGAAAGGCGGGTGAAGCGCCAGGGTAACAGCGCCATTCCCAAGCGGCTTTCGCTCCCAAATGGCACGTGGCATGTTCCATAACCTGGGTTTATCTTGCTATGAAACAATCCATCCTGCTTTAGGTTTGCTGCTAGGTTGATCTGCTATGCAGATCAGGATAAATCCAACATTGGAATATAATTGAAATGACAAGATTCCAACTGCACCGTAACGAGACTGAGGCTGCAAAGCCATCGGGCTGGCAAGCAGGCAACGCTGAGGGATCCACTTGTTGTGGGTTCGGGGGAATTCCTAATCGATCGGAAGGGTTCTGGTAATACCATGGGCAATCCTAGCGCGCGCCACCCCGATGCCCAAGTCGAACGGCAAAACCTACTTCGTTGCTAAGTGCCAGAACTGTAGAGGCAAGTGGTGCCAGCCACCAGGTAGGTCCAAGAACTGTCGTCGGCCGTAACAAAGTATCCATGAAGTGCGTAAGGCACGGCAAAGCGGCTGTGATACGACGCAGGACCATCGCTGCTCGTTGACCACGGCCATCGTCCGCGAGGACGGCCAAAAGGGTGACGGATGTTAGCAAACGCCACAAGCACGAGAAAAGGACATATGTGTTGCCACCCACGGCTGCCCAGGCTCCTGTCGGGGAATAGGCTGAGTGAGCTTGCCGGCCACCGTCCGAGAAGCCCGCATGAAGCCCAACGGCATCAAGTCAAGCTATCCTACGTAAAGCCTTGCCTGTTACATTGACGCGAGTAGCACAATCAGGCTGGCGGCCACCGAGCTGTACAAGCAACACGATGAACCTACACGCAGCTTGGAACGATGAGTCAGGCAGAATTCAATGGGCAATGTTAGAGGAGAGGGCACATAGTGAACACGACGCGACTGCGTACCAGAAAACGCCTGCTCCCTGCCAAGGCATACTGAAGGCCAACCCGCAACTCTCAGTGCGTCTCTATCCGAGCTAAGTATTTTGTCACCTTGTATTTGACATAATGCCGTGACATCTTCATGTTATTCATGGCCAAGCAAGGCCACTGACAGCCCGTTTAAAGGTTACATAAGGTGAAGAAGGCCTAAAAATGAATGAATACAAGTTTGTGCAAATTGTAGCTTTGACAGGTGAGGATCCTCCATGCTCCTACGCACGAGACAGCGTTTTCGTGTTTTCCTTGTGTACTGCCTTGCGTATACTGCGACTTCACAACGCCGTACAACGCGCACAAAAATCCACAACAAAGAAAACATCGGCTTTGGATCATTGATGATCATCCCTTGTTTGTTAAGAGAAGAAGTTTTAGGCTGCATTCCTTGTATGAGTAATTAGCATGCTTGTAATACGCTTATCAAATGTCTAACCTTCCTGATTGCCTGAACTCAACTGCTTGGTGCTGAACGTTCTCGGTGTCTGGACGCTCGCCCACCTATGTACACCCTTCACGTGGTCGCCTCGGAGCGACGTCTGTCCCAACTACTACTTCCGAACCCTGCCGGCAGCGATAGTGGAGGGGCTCCTCAAAAGTATGGCCTGCTAGGCGACGGCGACTCTTCCAGCGACGACAGCGAAGGAGAGTTGCTTGGGCTCGATTTAGACGATGACAGCCAAGTCATCGAGTTCACAGCCGGCAACCCTTGCGTGGAACACATTACCGGGGTTGTGCATCTCTACCGCCCTACACCAGGGCGCCTGCCGCAGAACTCAACGCCTGCAACAACGCCCGCTGCCTCAGCCCTTGCAACACCTGCGGTGCCCAAAGGCCACAGGCCGCTTACAGACAGCCCCGCCACCTCCGCCTTGCCAGCGCTCGTCAACGCTTCGCCGCCCGCCAAAGGCCACGCCAGCTGGGCGTCCCTCCTGGGAGCGCCAGCGCCGCCGGCGAAGCAGACCGCAGTCCCCGCAGCCCCCGCTGGCCCCGCTGCCGCCGCAGCCCTACTGCCGCAAACCGCTTCCGTCAGCATCGGCTGCGATGAGCTGTGCTGCCTGGCGCTCCCCTCTGACATGACCATCGCCGACTTCTGCACCTTCCTCGGCGCCCACTTATTGCGCCTCCGCCGCATGCGCGTACTGCGCCGGCAAGTGGGGCAGGTCGCGACGGCGCTGGCGTCGGCGTCGGCGTCGGCGGGGATCACCGCCACCGCACCGGCGGCGTCGGCGCCGTCAGGGCTACCTGGCTCACGCAGCGGAAGGTCTTCCTCCGCGGGGGGCTCAACCTCCCGGTCCACCAGCGGCGGCGGCAGTGGCAGCGGCGTCGAGGCCGATTCCGACCCACGGGTCGCGGGTCCCAGGCGGCTGAGCCAGAATGGGCAGCAAGCGACGGCGGCGTCAGCGCCATTGCTCCCCAGCGGTTCAGAGGCTTCGGATCCCTTGCAGTGCCACCGCAGGAACGAGGGAGGGGACGGCCCGCCTCCGGCGCCAGCACCGGCGGCTGCGGCTCCGCAGGTGGCACGGACGGAGGCGGGGGCCGCGGCTCCCGGTGGAGGAGGAGGAGGAGACGGCGGAGAAGCCCAGCGACAGACCCGTGGGTCGGCTTCTGACGGCGCTGCTCACGGTTTGCCCTCGGATCACGCACCACACGCACCTCACCCTCAGCCTCACCAGCAGCCCCATGGCCCCCAACGCCACCACCAAGAACAACAGCAGCAGCAACAACAACAACGACAACAGCAACAGCAAGGACAACAACAACAGCAGCAACAACAACAACAACAAGGACAACAGCAACAGCAAGGACAACAACAACAGCAGCAACAACAACAGCAAGGACAGCAGTTTTCCATTTCAAGTGCTGCTTCTCCTCGGCCGCCGCCGCGCCACGTGGCACGACCCCCCTCCCAACGAGTCGTGTGCATGGTGCTGATGCGCATGGAGAGTCCGGAGGCCGCAGACGAGCTGTATAACGACCTTAACGGTAAACCGTTCAGCTCCCTGGAGCCCGACATCGTCTGCCGGCTCGTACACGTACGGCACGTGGAGGTCACCAGCGGCGGCTGCAGGCATGCACCCGGTGCGGCGGCGGCGGCGGCGGCGGCGGCGGCTGCTGATGCAGAAGGCGCAACGCCGCCGCCAATGCCGCCGCCGCCAGGTCAGACTGAGCTCCCCTCCTGCCCGGTGTGCCTGGAACGGTTGGACGAGCACGTAAGCGGGATCGTCACAACGGTTTGCAACCATATGTTCCATTCGGAGTGCTTGCAGAAGTGGGCGGACACGACGTGTCCGGTGTGCCGCTACTGCGTTCGGGGCGCAGCTAACACATCTCGCTGCGGGGTGTGTGCTACAGCCGTGGACCTGTGGATCTGCCTCGTCTGCGGCCACGTGGGCTGCGGACGATACCGCGCAGGTGCGGCCCCCCGGGTGGCTCGGGTGATTACCTGGTTGTGTGTCCACCATCACCCATCACTCTTTTTGCACACGCTTGCACGCTGGGAACGAGGTTGGGTACTGGGAGCTATAGGTACTAGGTACTGGGCAGAAGGGTCAACCTGCCACTTTCGTTGCTTGTCTTGGTGAGGTGTGGTGGTCCGCGGGAACGAAACAGCATCGTGCGGGGGGTGCTGCTGCTGCTGCATTTCGACAAATGGCTAAAAGGAAATACCTATCTGAAAAAAATCTAAGTCTCTCACCGTTAAAAAAATATTTTTATTTTTCTCTTGCCAATGATGTCTGTTTGGCTTTTCTTTTCTTTGTTCCCTTTTTCCTTTTTCCTTTTTCCCGCTGCTGCTAAGTCAAAACATTTATGTGTATCTTAAAAGTTGTGCGCATGTGTATGTGTATTGTATGTATGTATGTATCGGGCTATCTCCTCCTTGCAATGCCTCTTCCCTCCACTCCCTCGTGTCCTATTTAGGCCACGCGGCAGACCACTGGCGCACCAGCGGGCACTGCTACGCACTGGAGCTGGAGACACAGCGGGTGTGGGACTACGTGGGCGACAACTACGTGCATCGCTTGATACAGTCCAAGACCGACGGCAAGCTGGTGGAGCTCGCGGCGCCAGCTACCGCAGTGGCGTCCCCGCACGCGATTGGCCGCGGCG